TTGCAACTCAGTTATTGTTCAATGATGGATAAACAAAAATGATGACAGGTTATCTAACAAAAACGCAAGAATGATGTTTCTTAAATTATCACACAGATATGCAGATGACAACTAAAAATAAAAAATTGTTGATTTAAAAAAAATAAAAAATAAAAAAACATATAATATAGTTGATTTCTTGCTCCCCCTACCCCACCCACCCCAAATAATGATAATTGGAAGAAAAAATAAAGAAAGAAAAAATAGACTTATAAATTTCCTATAGAACCAACAAAAGAAATAATCACAGAATAACAAAGCCCAGGTTTCCATACATACTACTTCTGTACCTTGTTTCAATATGAAAGGTCTTAAGGAAGTCCACAATGCTTCGGACACAATGCTTCAAGCCTGTTGTCAATATTATGGAAACAAAAGATTATTGAAGATTATTCAAGATTATTGAAACATTATTGAAACAAAAGATATCAAAAAATTAAAGATATCCAAAAATTATTGAAACAAAAGATATCCAAACATGCTAGAAATTAAAGATTGTTGAAAGAAAAGGTATCCAAAAATTAGAGTAAAGATTATTGAAACAAAAGATATCTAAAAAATATAGTAAACATTTAATAGCATTCAATAAATTGTAGAGGTTATTTGTAAATCTTACCAATTTTTTAAACAGGATAAATAATAAAATGATTAATAATCTCATGAAATAGTACCACTTTTAAATTTGTGACATAACCATTTATTATGATTAACAGGTTAATAAAATAGTACCACGTTTAATCTTCTTAACAGGTTACGAAAAGACTTATTATGTGTTCATTTTATTATATTTTCTCTTATTAATAGGTTACGAAAAGACTTATTATGTATTTATTTTATTTTATTTTATTTTATTTTGTTTTATACTTGAAATTATGATTCTCAACTCCTCTTAATAAAATTTGCAGTCAAACATAGAATTGTGAGTCCATGAACTAACAATCTCAATCCTATTGCTATAATACTACTAATCAAACATGCCCTAAGTGTCATTCAAGGAGGGGAAAAAAAAAAGATTAATTTAACTCCTATCTATTTTGGTTAAATTTGTTTACGAATAGGAAAATTAGCTGAAAAGCCAAAAACTAACACAAAAAATCAACCCATTCTCTCTATTTATTTTATATAATTAAAAAGTCACAAAAAAATAAAATAAAATAAAATAAAAGAAATAATATCATCCCTGCACATCCATGGAAATCAAAATGAATATATATAGATAAAAATGCATATATATCCAAATCCTCTCTCTCTATAGACTTGTATATTTGCTTGAAAATTTTAAAAAACTATTAGAAACAGAGTTGTGAATCACATACATACATACATACATATATTAAAAAAATGTATGTTTCTTTTCTTCTTCGAATTTCCATTTTCTTTTTTTAAAAAAAACACCCTCTGTTTCATTATGTGAAATTAGAATTCTCTACTCAGAAATACCCACTTCAGTCTTTGTCCCAATGATTTTCTCACATTTTCTCAAGTTTATAATTGAAATATTAAAGTTAAAAACATTTCCCATTTCAGATCAAGTAACCATACAACAAACATTTCAAACTAATTTTATAAATTAAAACCCATTTTATAAATCAAAAGCTTTTCAAAACAATAGAAAATCAACACCCATTTCCCATTAAAGAATCAAACCCATTTCATAAATTAAAACCATGTGAGAAATCAAACATTTCAAATTAATTTTATAAATGCATATTAGATTGGGATCAAAATGCATATATACATATACATCCATAATTATATATATACTAATTTACAGTAAATTAACCAAAATAAAGCAGAACTCACTGGATACAAATGAAAGCACAATCAAAGTAAAGCAGAAATCACAGTACACAGCAAAGGTCCAATAATTCAAACCTTGGTGCCAAAAAGTCCAACTGGATAATTCATCTCCAAAACATTCCTTCCCTAAATGAAAGAATTGGATTAAATTCAAATTCAATTCTCTCTCAAACTATCAAATGTATATGGTATTACACATACATATCAAACACATAAATTGAACTGGCCTCATTTGGGAACATACTAATTTAGTAACTTTTTTGCTATTTGGCTAAAATACGAGCTAAAAAAAACTAGTATACATCCATAATTATATATATAATAATTTACAGTAAATTAACCAAAATAAAGCAGAACTCACTGGATACAAATGAAAGCACAATCAAAGTAAAACAGAAATCACAGTACACAACAAAGGTCCAATAATTCAAACCTTGGTGCCAAAAGGTCCAACTGGATAATTCATCTCCAAAACATTCCTTCCCTAAATGAAAGAATTGGATTAAATTCAAATTCAATTCTCTCTCAAACTATCAAATGTATATGGTATTACACATACATATCAAACACATAAATTGAACTGGCCTCATTTGGGAACATACTAATTTAGTAACTTTTTTGCTATTTGGCTAAAATACGAGCTAAAAAAAACTAGTATGTTTGAGATGACTTTTTGACTTTTTACGAAAAGATGTGCAAAAAGTAGAGAGAAAAGGAAATCTTTGACTTTTTGGTATAAGTTATTGATTTTTTGGTTTTTTTAGTAACTTTTTGGCTTTTAGGCTAAAAAAGACAGTTCCCAAATGAGGCCTGAATAAACAATAGGATACCTCGAGTTCGGCCTCAAGTTCTTCACGCTCATGACCTGTAGCAATTGGCATAACATCTGGAACTCTCTTCTTCCCTTCGGAATAATATCTGCCATCCATCAACAACTAAATGATATTTTGAATCAATAAGAGCATCTGCAATCCTTACTTTTCTTTTTTCATCAAATTCAATTGAAATCTTGGTTAAAAACTTAATTTGATAGGAGTACTTCAATCTTTATTATTTTCCTATTTTTTTTTTTTCTATCAAATCTTTTTGAAAAATTCCAAACTTATCCTAAAATCAGCTTTAACCATTTTTAATAAAAGAAAACCATCTTCAATCCTTACTCTTTTATAAATTAAAACCATTTTAAAACCCATTTGAAAACCATCTTAAAAATCATTTTCAGAACCCATTTTAGATCAAGTAACCATAATCGTATCTATAAATAATCATATCTATATATATACATAATCATATCTATATATAATCATATATATATATACATCCATCTCTGAAATTATATACATACATCCATCTTTGAATCTATATATATAATACACACAATCGTATCTAAAATTATATATATAATACACACAAATGCATATATATACATATATCTATCTCTGAATCTCCCATATCTCTGATCTCTTTTGCAGTGGCTTCGTCAATATTGAAGGGGGTTTGGGGCTGCCACTGTTGATGACGATTTTGATAAAGAGAGAGAGTAGAGAGATATGAGAGGAATGCTAGGATCGGCGCGTGACTGGGGATAAATTTCCCATGAGTTGATTGATAAATTTTGAGTTTCCCACTCACTTTGAAGTTCGCCCACTAACAAATAAATAAAATCTCCTGTCCCAACTGATCAGCTTGTGAGATATGCATAGGATCATATTGCAGAATGATGATAGTGAAACATCTACCCGCGTTTTTTTATTTGTTTTTAAAATTTATTTTGAGATGTGTATTAAAAGTTATTTTTTAATTTATTTTTTTTAAAAAAAGAGTTGAAATGTTAAAAAAATTAAAAAATTAAATTTTAACTATTTTCTTAAAATAGGCCTAAACTGAGGTTAACGTTTTTTCTTGAGAAAATATATCAACGGTAGTGCTACGTAGCTCGAAAGGTGGAGCTTGAAATTGGCTCGAATCAGAAGTAGAGAAGGAGAAGAGAAGGAAGGAGGAGGAGGGAGGAGGAGGAGGAGGAGGAACTGGAGGGGGAGGGGGAGGAGGAGGAGGGACTAGAGGGGGCCCAACAAATGGGGCTGGAGGCGGGGGGCGGGGGGCGGAGGCGAGGCAGAGGCGACGAGCAGCGACAGCGGGCGACGAGGCGACGAGCAGCGACGATCCTCGGCGGCGGCGGTGGTGCTGGCTCTTCTTCTCTTTCTCTTCTCCTCTCTTCTTCCTCTCTTCTCTCCCTCTTTCTCCTCTCTTCTTCCTCTCTTCTTCCTCTCTTCTCTCCCTCTTTCGAGCCAACCAATTCGAGCTACGGCTCATTTCCGTTTTTCATAAACAAATATGAGTGGTGACGCTACAATCAATCAATTAAATAACCTTTTTTTATTTTTTGTTTGAAATGAATCAATTATCTTGTATCTGTTTTGTGGTGACGATGTTCTGGTAGAGAGAGAGAGAGAGAGAGAGAGAGAGAGAGAGAATGGAAAGGAAAGAAGCGGAGGTTGTGTGCGTCACCGGAGCAAGTGGCTTCATCGGTTCGAAGCTGGTCCGTCAACTCCTCCTCCGCGGCTACGTCGTCCACGCCACCGTCCAAGATCTCAGTTGCTCACTACTCCTACTCCTACCCACTCTCAACCTCTACCTTTTACTCTGCTTCAAAGCTACCTACCGATATATTGGGGGTGTTTGTTTCAGCTTTTCAGAATCAATTTATGGCTTTTAGCTTTGAAAAAGTTATTTTTGACTGTTTGGTTAAACTTATTTCAAACGGCTTCTGATTCTAACAGCTTATTTTAACTCAAAAAAGCTGATTCTGAGAAGCTGCTCACCCCTTGCTTCTGATTATCAACTTCTGCTGTGAACATGTTAATTTATGGTTATACTCTTAAATTTTTTTATTTTTTATTTTTTTAAAAATAGAAAAAGACTCAAATGGATTATAGATTATTATTATTATTTTTTATGAGAAATGTAGACAAACAAAAAATAAAAATTAATTGAAAAAGCTATTTCACAGCTTATTTAACAAACACTACTCAGCAACTTAAATCTATAATCCAACAGCTACACCAAACAGATTAACAACTTCTGATTAAAGTCATAATCTATAATCTGTTAAGGTATAATCTATAAGCTGTTTTAACGGCTACACCAAACGGGGCCAATGTACAGCTTCAATAAATAAATAAATAAAACAGTAAAATGAAAATAATTACATAATCTGAACCAAAAACAGAGCAATTAGATAGAAGGTCTGGAAATTCACCCCTTTGCGGCGGCAGTAGTCGACATCGCTCCAGGAATCCTCATTGAGGACAACATCAGCCGGCCAGTTATAGTTGGGAATTATGGTGGAGAAAGACGAAGTCAGCACCACGCGCCTAACGCCCAGCTCTTTTGCTGCCTTGAGCACATTTTTGGTGCCCTCAATAGCCGGCTCCAACAGTTGCTTCTGTCAAACACGGCCATTCAATTCACTGACTGTAATTTGGATATGCATTGTTATGTATCAATGTGTGTGTAGATTACTTTGATTTCACATGTTTAGTACCTGAGGATCATGAACTTGGAGAACGCAAGGAGATGCAACATGGAAGACGCCGCTGACGCCATTGATGGAGGCGAATAGGGAGGTGTAGTCGAGGAGATCCATCTGAAAGAGACGGAGCCTCGTTTTGGCTCCTTCTAAGGCTTCCAGGTGCTTCGTTTCTTGCTCATTCTCTTTTCAAAACCAAAAACAAAAAAACATTATAAAAAATTTGTTGCTAGTGGAGTTTTTCAACACTCAAAATCACATTTTCTAAATCCAAGCAGCCTTAAACTTACTCCAAATTCATATTGTTCTGTGGAGTAGTTTTTGAAAAGTTTAAAGCTATTATAAATTTGGAAAAACTAAGTTCAGTATAACAATAATAAATTTTGAAAGAACTGGGGTTTTATTTGGATGGAGATTCTCTTTTGTTGTTACTCCCTGACTAAGGGGTGATGTTGGACCCCTATGCCTACCACGGGACACACCTAGATGATCAGATTCATTTATTTTTTAGAATTTTTCGAGCAAATTTTTCATACAAAAAAATCAAGTTCATCGAATAAGTATATTCACATGATTGGATTACATTTGTCTTTAAAAAGATAAATAGACAAGTATGATTTTGAAAATACATTTTCCATCGATGATTTGCATGAAAGTCCTAAAAAATAAACAATTTAAGATCCCGTGATACGTCCAAAGAGGCCAATAACACCCTCTTGTTGGTTAAATAACTCCTACGATGTGTTTTTCCTCATAATCCCTAGTACTCCACGTGTAGCCATACTATGAGGAAAGGATTAGAGCATCAAATGGGTGTTGATAATTGTGTGCATTAACACATTCTTTTTTCCAAATTTTTGTTGGCTAGTTATGGTATTCGGTTTCTAAAAACCTTGCCGAGAAAGCTGCTTGGGAATTTGCCAAAGAGAAAGATTTGAATATGGTTGTGGTGATTCCGGGAGCTGTTTTCGGCCCTATTCTCCTGTTAGAATTTACCATAATATATCATCACCTACCACCTCCACTCAACTCACCTACCACACACACTCACCTACTCCCCAATCCTCTCCTATATAATTAGTACCTCACCATCTGTAATTTACACACAACAATCTTATATCAATCAATCATCAATCAATATCAATCAATAATACAATATTATTTAACACGCCAACCATTAATTCAAGCATGTCAGTGCTTCTTCGACTCCTTCAGGGTAAATCTTAATTTTTTAGGGTTCTATGTGTACAAAGTTTGCTCCTTTTTGTGCTGCCAAATTATTTTTTATTGCCACTGTTATTTAGGGATGGCAATGGGGGTTAATGGGGTGGATATTAATTCTCCATCTCCACTTCCCTATAATTATTTTTTCTCATTCCCCATGGGTACTGCCCTCCCCATCTCCTAATGAGTTTGGATATTCCCCAACCCAACTTGACCCCCCTTTTTTTATCTTTTATTATTTTATATTTTTAAAATTTATAACCAAAACTAAATAAACATTCAATCTTTTTTTTATTTAAGATTCACAACTTCTTCTTCTTTTTTTTTTTTTTTTGTAAAGATTTACAACTAAAAGTTAAATATACATTCAATTTTTATTCTATTTTATTTTTTTTAAGGTTCACAACCTTTTTTTTTTAAGGTAAGATTCACAACCAAAGCTAAATATACATTCAATCTTTTTTTTTTTTTAAAGGTTCACAACCATTTTTTTTTTTTCTTTTTTAAGATTCATAACCAAAACTAAATATACATTCAATCTTATTTTATTTTATTTGGCTCAACAATAAAATCAAATACGCATTAATTAACATTGTCACATTATTCTTGTCAAATTTTTTGTATATCTAGAATTTTTAAAATTTATTTTGAAAAATTCAATTTTAACCAAAGCTAAATATACATTCAATTTTTTTTTTAATTTTAAGATTCACAACCAAAGCTAAATATACATTCAATCTTATTTTATTTTATTTGGCTCAACAACAAAATCAAATACACATTAATTAACATTGTCACGTTATTGTTGTCAAATTTTATGTATATCTAGAATTTTTAAAATTTATTTAGAAAAATTCTATTCCTACAAAAAAAAATTCCATATTCTTTTTTAATTTTATGCATCTCCTTCTCCTCTCTATTAATTGATGTTTGATAATCTGAAGGTGATTTATTGCTTTCGCTTCCATCTTCTTCTTCTTCTTTTTAAATTTTTTTTTATTTGCATTTATAGAATGAATTTTTTTGTTTCAATATCTCCTGCAATTTTTTTATTGGATTTCTTTTTGATTTGATGGTAACCTTAAATTGAAATTTTCAATTTTCATCTTAACTAGTGATTATCTTAATTGAAATTTTATACAATTTTGTCTTCAATTTTCATGTTTTGGTTATGATTAATTGCGCGTTTTTGATCGACAGTCACAATCTTGTCACCGCTAGATTGTCGTCATCGCAAATCGCCGTTGTTGTAGTGAGAGGATGCGAGAGAGTGAGAATTAGAACTCTAATTGTCAATAGAGTAGGGATGACAATGGATAACCTACCATGTGGGTATCCATGGAGATCCAACCCAAATACTTGGGTTTCCCCTTTTTTCTTGTTCGTCGGGTAGGGTAAGTGATATTCTTTAAATCTCAACCGGGGATGGGTACCCACTAATTTCCCTATTTTTTTTTTTTTGGTACATTAGAAAATAATTTCTCCATATGTTTTCACTACTCTGTTGACAATTAGAGTTCTAATTCTCACTCTCTCTCATCCTCTCACTACAGCAATGGCAATTTGCGATGACAACAATCTAGCGGTGACAAGATTGTGACTATCGATAAAAAACGCGCAATTAATCATAACCAAAACATGAAAATTGAAGACAAAAATGTATAAAATTTTAATTAAGGTGATCGCTAGTTAAGATGAAAATTGAAAAATTCAATCTATGGTTACCATCAAATCAGAGAGAAATCTAATAAAACAATTGTAGGAGATATTAAAACAAGAAAATTTATTCTATAAATGCAAATAAAAAAATTTTAAAAAGAAGAAGAAGAAGATGGAAACGAGAGCAATAACTCACCTTCAGATTATCGAAGATCAATTAATAGAGAGGAGAAGGAGATACATAAAATTAAAAAAATAAAATAAAAAAGAAGATGGCTTAAAAATTAAAAAAAAAAATGGTTGTGAACCTTAAAAATAAAAAAATAATAATAAAAAAAAAAGATTGGATGTATATTTAGCTTTGGTTATGGATCTAAAAAAAAAAAGTTGGTTGTGAACCTGAAAAAAAAATAGATAAATAAATAAAAGAAAAAAGATTGAATGTATATTTAGTTTTTGTTGTGAACCTTAAAAAAAATAAAAAAAAAAAAATTGAAGGGATATTTAGCTTTGGTTGTGAATCTTAAAAAAAAAAAAAAAAAAAAATATGGTTGTGAACCTTTAAAAAAAAAAAAAAAAAAACAAAAAAAAAAGATTGAATGTATATTCCGCTTTGGTTGTGAATCTTAAAAATTAAAAGAAAAAAATGGCTGTGAACCTTAAAAAAAAAAAGAAAAAAAAAAGTTGGTTGTGAACCTGAAAAAAAAATAGATAAATAAATAAAAGAAAAAAGATTGAATGTATATTTAGTTTTTGTTGTGAATCTTTAAAAAAAAAAAAAAAAAACATATGGGAAAATTAGTGGGTACCCATCCCCAACCCATCCCATATTTAAAGAATATCACTCACCCTACCCAATGAATAAGAAAAAAAGAAGAAAACCCATCGTCTCCATGAATACCCACAGGGTAGGTTATTGATTGACATCCCTAGTTATTTTCTGTTTTTAGGGTTCTATTTTCTTTTGTTTTTGATGAGTAATTGGTTCCATCCCAATCTTGTGTCTGCCTTCCTCTGTTATTGAAGTAGACGATAGAAATTGACTTCATCCTAGTAACCAATTGTGATTTTTATGAATAATTATTTCACTCAGCAATTATGTACACATACATTCACTGATACACCAGCCCTCACACATGCACTCTCTGTATAAAGCTTCGTGAAAAATAAATACAAAATTCACTTTTGATTTGTGCCTTCTAAGAGATAGTGCCCTTTCCATCGTGCTAATCTCTTGACCAATTGGTCCCACGTAAATGCAGTACAGAAGCAGTAATTCAAATTCATGGTTAGATAGTTAGTTCTCAAACTCCAGACAAATCATGTACACTTGTAAACTAATAATTAGAAGCTTTTAACTCTTAGCAATGATAAAAAATAAATAAATAATAAAATGATCACATTTTGTCTTGGCCAGGCTGCACTGATACATTGCAGGACTTCTATGGGGGAGCTGTACATGTTAAGGACGTGGCTCTAGCACATATATTAGTGTATGAAAACACATGAGCTCCTGGAAGGCATTTGTGTGCCGAATCTATATCTCATTTTGGTGACTTTGCAGCCAAGGTTGCAGAAATTTATCCTGAATATAAGTTGCCCAGGTAATATTTTTGATTTCATCAATGAACATTCCTCATTGGCGATGCTTTAAACTACTGTTTTTTGAATTTTTTTTACTGGGATTACTTTACTTCTTAACATCTGACACAATCATTGAGGAGAAGTAATTGAGAGATTTAAGCCTTTTTCATAGGTTACCAAAGGATACTCAACCTGGAATGCTGAGGGATAAGAATCCCTCTAAGAAGTTGATGGATTTGGGTTTGCAATTCATTCCCATAGAACAAATTATCAAGGACTCTGTAGAGAGCTTGAAGAGCAAAGGTTATATTTCTTAAATCAAAGCTCGGTGTCTTAGTGAACGCTTGTCAGAGTTCTTTTCACTCTCTGCAGTTGGTATTGGGCAAGGACTATTAGGCTATTTCTTCGTCAGAAAGTTCATGGTGTATTTTGCTTGAATTAGAACCCATTTTGTTAATAATCTCTTTCCCAAATCCATATACGCTTTAGACTAATTAACAAGGCAATGCTTGTGTCTTTTTAAGTGTAATATTTGTATAAGGGAAGGGCCACTATCAAGGAAAATTGTCGCACACCCTATCAAGAAAGTTATTTTGCAAGTGTAGTTAGGAGTACTGTTCCATTACCCTCATACTTGAATGCTATAAGCTCTGATGTTGTTTTGGGAGTATGAAATGCATGTTTTCTATGAGTACAAAATTTGAATATGATAGCTTCTATGACTGTCTGGATCTTCGACAAGAAAAATA